CGTCGGATTTCAGTGCCCTTTTTCTTAAATTCTTGGGCCTGCGAGAAGAAGGAACGAGAGTTCAGGGGTATGCATGCAAATAAAATCTAACATCGTTCTTATAGAAAGAAAAGGTCCGCATACCGAATAACGCAGGTCTTCGGCCTTGTCGTTAAGAACGGTCAGGTTTTCACCTCTTTCGATAGTCTAAAAAAGTGCATACAGCATTATTTAGTGAAAAACAACGATCAAATCCTCATGGTCGATAACAAGTTTATTGTGAAATCAAAAGTCAATGAGATCAATATGTTAACAAGTATACGAGTTTAGTTCAATTCATATACCTTGTCTATATTCTCCAGCATAATGCTTTTGACTTCCGAAACTTGGGCCTTAACTTTCAATAGTTTCACTATTTCATCCGCATGGTCGATAATATATTGTATGTGCTCTTTCATTAGAGGCCTGCGATTGCAAGGTTTTTTATCAATAAAAAAATATTTTCTTGTAACTCCAATGTCAAAATATTAATGAGGAATTACCCGAATTCTTTGTTCAAACTTTTTGCAACTGCTGTATCTGCTTTACCACCGCCGTATCTTTTCTTGAAATCGGCTTTGATACGTTCCAATAATGCAATCGAGATTTGTTTTCCGACAGATTCTTTAGCAACTACACAGTAAGCTGCATATGATATTTAACCAATGGTAATATGTTCAAATTTTTAAAAATGTAATATGTTCATTATCTAAAATTTTAAAATGAAATTTTCAAATATTACTTATAATATTTTATGTACATCTGTGCATGTGCACATGATATCTACTAGTTTTTAATGAATACGAACTTGTAAGTACACGAGCTCATAAATATTAAACAAATATGAGAAACATATTTCAAGAATTTGAAAAGGCACATATAATCGTATTTCGGTTGTAGTACTGCGTTTTTAAATACGTCTATAGAGAGTAAGTCAAATGATTCAGTTATTTACTCAAAAGTTACTAAAAATGATTTACCAACAATCTTTTTATATTAGTATAGATGCACAAATATCGTTTAATTTAAATTATATTTTATTCAATACAATTTATATGGCACGTAGCAAATGGACGTAATTTAAAAAAAAAACAAATATTCTTCAATGGTGGAAGTGCACTGAGTTCTGCAAATGTGACAATAAGAAAAAGATACTCGGTCTAACTTTAATTATGTTTTACACTACAAGAAAATGATAAAATTCCAACGGAAATCTATTCCAAAAGAAATATTCCAACGGCAATTTCAACGGATATTTCAATACTATTATTTCCGCTGGAATTTTTCAATGGACTCCAACGGAAATTTCAACAAAAATATTCCGTTGGAATGGATTTTCCATTAGAATTTCTGATGGATTTTGACGATTCCAACGGTGGATTTTCCAACGGGGGTGGAAATAAAAATTCCAACGGACTTTGCATATTCCAACGAAAATTCCTACGGCAAAAAACCGTTGGAAATATAGCCGTTGGAATCATCAAATTCCATCTAAAATTCCAATGAAAAATTCATTCCAACAGAATATTTCTGCTGGAATTTCCGTTGGAACCATTCCAACGGAAGCTATACCATTGGAATATCCGTTGGAATTTCCATTGGAATATGTTACCATAGGATTTTCCGTTGGAATATAACAATTTTTTGTAGTGTTTAATTCAAATAAAGACTGATCAATATTTTTGCATTAGAGTGAATTGTGTTATTTTTATATATAACTATATCAATTCATTAAAGACTTGGACCTATTTACATGCCAATTAAATAAAATTAGACCCAAAACATCGTATATTATGTAGGTTCACAATACTATATAAACTATGGTCATATATATTTATACCCCCCTTATATATTAATTCAAAACGTGATGAGCCTAAGTCACAAGCTCGCATGTTTCTGGATTTACATGATGAAATTACATTCTTCCTTATTAGGCTTGGATAGATTTTAATTTACTGACAATCCAAAAATAATTAGGATCAGATTATCCACAAATATGTTGATTATTTATGGTCATGTTACACGTATTAATTGCATTTTAATATCATTTCATATTATAACCATTGAATTGTAAATGTACTTTAAAAGTTAATAATTTTTGTATTTTCTTGATGAGCCAAAATAATCGACTTACCGAGGTTGCCGGTCGAACCGCCTCATCTCGATTGCGTGAAAGTTTGGACGTCTCGATCTCTTTCATCGTCAAGAACCGGATCGACCTGCAAAGCGCCAGGGCAGAGCCCCAGCGTAGATACTCCGACGCTCAAGTCAGATAACAAATATTTTGATCGTGTATCTTAATAATCTTAAGAGCTCAGGATTAAAAAATGAACCTGGTCCCTTATTTATAAGGGGTTTAATGACTTACTACCCAAGATAATGAGTTTCCTCAACAAACAAAAACTCTGATACTCCTCAATAATTGTGTAGGTATACACCAACTTTTATGAATATCTTTAACTAATATCGTGTATCACATAAATTAGATCTATACTTCCTTTGACCGGCCTATCCGAGCTAACCGCTCAGGCCGGTCCACCGAGTTATTCTTCGTGCTACATCATTTCTTGTTATCAATTTTGCATATATAATATATCAAATTAATCATTTCTTGATGATCTTCGATTTACATCCATATTGTATGTATAAAAAAATTATATTTATATTTATAACAATAATAAAATTATTTAAAAATATTAATGAGAAAAATAAAATTTACCAATTAATATAATTATATTTTAAGTAGTTAAATGATATAAGTTAAAAAAAAATCTATTATTATATAAAGAGACAATCTAAAAAATACTTTAATAGTAACTAAAAAATCATCTTAAATCCCGCCTAAAAATATAACTACAAATAGAAACGTTTTTTGAAATTTTTCACAATATGGCGCCACTTATTAAATCATTTGAAATTTTTGAAAATTTGAAAATTTTTGGGAATATCCTAAATCAACAATTGTCGTTTGAAATACTTAGAAATTTTCTACACAAATCAGTTTTTAAGACATTTTTTAAAAGTTTAAACAATCCCATTTAACATCTCCACAGTATATTGATATCATTCTTTTATGGACACCTCAAATATTTTTGCATCATAAACAAATTAACATTTAACATTAAAACAAACCCACTTTATTATTATCAAAGTCAATCAATTTAAATAGTCATGTCTCAATTTAATAAAAATCATGATTCATTTACTTTGAGCAACCCGAATTTTTGTTTTCGATAAATCGATACATCTTAAGTTTGTTATTGTCTCACATCTTCGTTCATTTAGTTTGATTAAGCCGAATATCTATTATTATATAATAAGACTAAGCATTTACTTAAAATAGAATGTAAAATCCAGCAAAAAAAATTGTTTTATTATAATTAGTAATTTTATATATGCAAAATTTTTTATTAACCCTGATTTGACGAGTATTTTAAAATTTTAAAAAAGTCAATGTGTAATATCCAACCAAATCAACCAAACTAGGATAATGAGTTTGGAAATTTGTTTTGTCCATATTTATCTAACTAAACAATATTTTGTCTATATTGAACTAATAAAATGATATATGAAAAAATTTGAAACAAATCCTCCATTTTTAGCCGTAGCTCATTGAATTTAGATTTTTTTTTTTCAATTCAAAATCATTATCATTAATTACAAAATCTTATTTTTCACAATTGTCCATTGCCGAAAAAATTCCTTCAGTTATCCCAAAAGTTCCGCATTCTTAATATGTCTTTATTAATCCTAAAATTGTATATATTTAAAAAAATGTGATATTCTTAAAAATCTAATTGATTTTTATTCCGAATTATTCTCTTAATTATGCATTGGTTAGTGGGTGATTCATATATTTTCTTTTTAAATACGATAATGTTGTTCAAAATTTTAAGCCAAATATTTCCAGAAGTCAACAAATTTATTTAAATAAATATTACTTTTCAATTCATATTCAACTAAATTTAATTGTCTAAATTTAATTTAATAGTATAAAATCCCAAGAAGTATTTCTATTAACATATTAAAAGGTGAAAGAATTGCCTAAAATAGTATGTATCCAACTTAAAATTTGGGTTTTTAATATTATATTGGATTAAAAAAATTGTAAACTCTCACCTAAAGCACATTTGATGATTTAAAAAAATAATAAATTTGAAAAGTTTGACTATGTTATTTAAATTAATCAATATTTGTTTGTTCATATTTATCTAACAAAAAATATTTTGAAAGTTTAGAAAGAATCTCATAAAGAACAAAAAAAATGTCGTGAAAGAGTGTGATCATATATCCTTGAAATATTATTTAATTTTAAAAAACACCGCACGTAGGTATGCAATTGAAAATTAAGTTTAATAACTTAAAATATAATATTATTACATTATAATATTGAATTTGTGTGTATAAAAAAATTGTCGATCGTTTAATTTAAAAAACTATCAATTCGCTTATTTTGGTTACTACCAATCTTACAATTTAAAAAAAAAATTGTCATCATTTAATCTATATATGTATATGTTTGTATTTACGTGAAATATAAACTAAAATTCCACCTAAATTATTAAAATTACTAATGTTAGTAAGTTTTTTCAAATATTTCCGCTTCTAGAAATTAATTAATAAATTTATTTATGAAGTTGGCACAATTAATAAATCTGATTTTGGTATATAGTTGGCGATTATGGCCATTTTTATTTTTTTGGTAGGAAATGTGTTATTATTAATAAATATCCAAATAAAGTGGGCGATTTTATTTTGGCTTAATTGCTAATAAATCTATGACTTTTTCGAAAATTGCAATTATATGCATCACTTTTAAACTTGGCAAATATATACACCACTTTTATAATTTTTGGCAATTGTATGCACCGGACCCAATTTCAGGCTTTGACTGCTGACATGATTGCTGAGTTTAAAAATGATGCATATAATTGCAATTTACGAAAAGATCATGGTTTTATTAGCAATTAAACTAATAAAATATTTATTTAATTTTATTTTACTATTTCATTTATTATATTTTCTATCTTATATTATATTATCTTATAAGATAATAAATAAGATAATGAATATTTATTATATTATAATAATAATATTATAATGTATTACATTATATAATATTATATTTTATAGTATAATAAATATAAGATAATATAATATAATAATTAAAAAATTAATATATTATCTTATATTATATCATTTTATAAAAAACATATTATCTCATATTATATTACCTTATATTATCTTATATTATCTAATACTAT